ATGTACTCAGTTTATCTAGTCTAATCATTTTATTGATGTTTCTGAACAACAATAAACAGGATTACATGCAACTTCCATTTAAAAGTTCCATCAAATCACCATCAGTGATAGCAGTACTGGTCAAGTATAATTTAAAAGTTTTATTCGGCGCTGCGTGTTTTTGTGTGCCTTTGTACAGTAGCTGAAAAGAATTCACAATGTCAACAGGAACAGAGGCCAAAAAAGAAAGAAAAAGCTGAATCAGATCATTGTATACGAGTGCACACACAGATGCACAGGCAGGCACGCTCGCCCACACCCACACCCACAGTACATAAACCTGCCCACAGGCTATACAGAGAACACCGGAGAGGACAGGCACACTCCATGTATGAGTTCAGTCTATTTACTCTAACTAATGATTATTAGAACCCTTAATGCCTCTGGCATCCTATTCTACAGTCATCCATTCATCCCGCCTGACCCAGTCTGATGCTGTTTGGATGTAGCACAGCCATATAAAAGCTTGACTAAATAGCAACCTTCCTGTTCTAGTTTTTAAACCCAACAGGAAATAAATGTATGTGCACAAAGACTACAAATATTAAAACAAAACTCAAAAGATGTATGCCTTTTCAGTGAGGACAAACAACTTTACTTACTTACATTACTTTAATGACACAAACATATTCCCTACGGTACGTTCTTGACCAGAGAAGTCATCTGAACACTAAAGGCTATAGAGAGCATACAGGCATATGCAGCCTCAGGCTGTAATATCTACATGGCCTGTTTTCAGGGTGCAATGGAAAAAAGAAATCAATTCATCCGGTCTCAATCTTTCACTCACAATTTCAGGCCCACCACGATAGCCCTGAAGGATTATTCACGGCTTCCTTTTTTTTCAATTTTTTTTATTAAACAATGTGGAAAAAGTTTTTCATAACCTACATTCATATACACAAAAGTTCACATAGTGCCGCATCATACAGTGTGTTTCCGTCAGAAAAGGTTAGCTGTGTATCTGTCCTCTGATTGGCCAACATTTATATGTTTCATATATGTAGGTAACCTGCTAACTTTACAGGTCAAAGGACTTGAAATCACAGACACTACACTACAGAATATCTTCTATAAAAGTTACAAATTGTCATCTTCACAGACCGATTCACTTTATGTAAATATACAGATGAACGATGTGTAGAACTGCTGCTAAGGTCTATTAATCAAAACCACTGTGTTCTGTGTCCATTAAGTCTGACACGTCCAATCCATACTAGTGCCCTACTTATGCTGATGGTCATACTGTCGGTGAATGACACAAGTTAAAAAAATTAGTTCAGAGGATCAATTACTCAAACAATATTATAGAGACAGACATTAGAGTGGGTGCATTAGCATTAGCTCAGGTGATGATCACAGATCATCTGATCCCAAGTCTCTGTCTTTTCTCTACTCAGGTTAAACATAAACGTATATAAAATCTATGTTTCAATGCAACAGGAAGCACACAGTTTTGATGTCTATGAACCAGATGACAATCAATATGCATTGATAGTAGCCCAAGTGCAATATTTGATTTTTTTTTGTCTTTCAATGTTTCTTCTTATTATTTATTTTATCAGTCCTGCAGGTCTGCATTCATCTGAGCTGGACAGTCTTTCATCAGCGGTTGTGCTAAGGTAGTGTCAATATTTAATGAAGCCTAAATAGTAAAAGAGTTGCAATTCATCATTTTTATTGTGTGTTTTCAAACCGTTAAAATTTGTGTCTGATTTTCACTTAATCATGATGAATCTAGATAAATCACCATTCCTAACTATGGTAAGCAGCCAGCCTATCACCAGAGCCTCAGTGTTCTGATAGATCATATACATTTATCATCGATCTACCAGGAGCTGCTGGTTTCACATCAAAATAGAAGGACCAGCTGTGTCAGTTATTAAAATGATTACATTTCTGTGATATATTATAACACAATCTTCAACACTGAATAGTTGCTCCAAAAAAGGCAAAAAAGTGTGAACACGCCTGATCTAGAGAATGTTACCAGTCTGTGGTATAATGTATCGATGGTTGATCTGTCCAACAGTCCCATAGTAAAAGTCTCATTTTACCACAAAGTAAATCAGTAAATTACTTCAACTTACTACATCACTACAACTGCTCTTCTTTACTGCACTTTATTGTTTTGTTCTGCTGACATCATCAATCACGTACATATATGCACGCATGCAGTTGCCAGAACCCACACACTCTCACACACAACAGCATTACACATCACAGCCTGTGGGTAGGACATGAAACAGGCAGAGCATTGTGACACACCAGCTCACTGGGGCCACATTCACAGGAGACGTCCACAAATCCAGTGACGTCCCGTACATTACCACACAGCAGAGTATAAACACACGCAAATACTGCCACAGTACAAGCCAAACTAACTGTTAGGAGCGAAGCCGGTGCAGAGAAAAATATTAGCATTCTGTCAGGGTGTCAGACAAGACTGCACCAGCTCTACACAAAGCCAACATGCAGCAGAGCGTAACGGAACAGACAGCTAGAGAGAGAGGGAGCAAGAGATAGGTGGATTACAACCAGCACTGTGCTGGTAAATATTTTTTTTGGGGGGGGGGTAATAAACACAACATGAAGACAACAAAAAAGAAAAATAACGCACGCACACACACACACACACACAGAGAATAGATAATGGTGCACGCACACACACACACACACACTCAATAGATAATGGTAAAAAAAAAAAGATGATGCCATAAAGGGGTACCTTACTATTGAGTCGTGCCTTCTTAGGGTTTTTCTTAGTAGTTTTTCTTTGCTTTCTGTCAGATGGTTGTTTTTTGCCCAGAGTGGAGCCCATCTCAGGTGCTTGATACACACACACAAACCCCCACCCGGTCACACAGCACTCCCAAGGGTCAGCTGAAGTCCCAGTACCAAAACATTCTCCACATGGCCATACAGCAGTCTCCTCCTCCTCCTCCTCCTTGTTCCCAGTCTTTAAGATCTTTCTTACCTTCTCCTGTTCTGACTCTGTTCTTGTCAAATACGGACAGGCAATCTCACACGGTCACTCACCCTGATACTTGCTCTAAAGCACAGAATAACACAGTGCCTGCTGTGCGTTAATCGGTAAATGGATGGCTCGTAGATGGCAGATAGTGTGCGGGATGCTGATGAGACAGGAGGAGGGCGGAGAGAATGTGAGTGAGAGTGGGGAGGAGACATGCAAACCACAGTGAGGGGAAATGAAAAAGGAGGAATACTGACAGAAGACTACAGCAAATACAGACTGGGATGAGATTCTTTTTTTGAGTGATAAATATAAATATTGAATGATAAATATTTTTAAAAATATGCATACTGAAGGTTTTACTTAATTGTACAAAATAATTGCCCATTACACTGACAATTAGTCAAGATACTGTTATTTTGGTTCGTATTAAAATCAGTTAGTTCGCATGATTTTTCATGGAGTCTGAAAACATAATTACTTTCTTGCACATAAATAAAACCAACTGTGATGTTTTGGCTCCTTCTGTAGAACTTTCCCCCAAACCAGCTGAAAATATGGTTATTATACACTGCAAAACAAGTGAATAAAAATGACAATGTAGTGCACTTAAAATAATTAATTAAAAAAAATACTGAATGCATAATTACTCTGCAGGAATCTGGCACCTTTAAATATTACGCCCACAGTACTCCGTGTACTCTGTGTTACTTCTTTGTAATCTGAAAATAATGCGAGAATTGTCATTCATAAACACAATGTGCTCTAAACATGAGTGCAGAGCAGCGGTGTGGGAGAAACAGCAGTCCTCTGTACAGTGTCATGTCAGTGGCTCTCATGAATCTGAATAAACAAGACATGAGCATCAATGGAAATTAGAAGTTGGTCTCTAAACAAAAGTATTATTAAGGGCCAGAATACTGACCAGTAAAACAACCCAACATACTGTAACTACAGGAGTGTCTTTTTATGTTTTTACCGTATTCCTTCCCTTTAGTTGCTGTGAATGTTTATGGCACTAAATATACATAACAAGAAATGAATTTTAAAAACCCCAGAAAGTTTCAGGTACAATAATAAAATGGTAGGGGCACTAATAGTAGAATGCATGATAAACATGCAAAACAAACAGCACTAATAGTAGAATGCATGATAAACAAAAAAGTCTCTTGCAGCTAGCACACCAATAACAGCACAATCTTCATCATCTTAGCACACCAATAACAGCACAATCTTCAATGAAAAGAGATAAAGTCTTAACAACAACAACAGTGTGGGTGTGAGAATGTGGCCAATATGCTTCTCAGTGAAAACCAAAACTGTTACGAATGCCTTACTGTAGGTAAGAATGAAACTGAACCAAACACTGTATGAGTAATAGTACCACTACTTATAGTACTAATACTAGATGTGAAATTCCCCACCACGAAGACAACCTTCTGTAAGAGACAAGTAATGAGACGTCATGCACTCAGAGGGAGGAGTGCTCATATAAACACGTGGCTGGTTCTAAATGGCACAACTCACTGCATGAACCATTTTCTCTTCAAAACCTTAAACACTGTAATCCTTAAAAACTGCTTTTCTCAATAAACAGGGGAAAATACATTACAAATCAATACATTTTCCCAGTAACCTAACAATTTAGAAATATTTCCTTTAATTTTCCTTTAATTTTCCTCTCTGTGTCCCGGCAATAGGCAGTTAACTGTAATATGGAGTAATGGTTTCATTAACACAAAATGTGTCTGTCATGCATAAGAAAAGGACAGCAAAGAAAAAGTGGTAAATTCAGGGCAAAGTATTTCCTGTGATTTTTTTACGACTGTAAAATCCTAGCATGGACAGTAGGTTCTCCACGTACACTGGAGTTCTGTTTCTACAGAGCTACGTCACTAAATGTTCGCTGTAAGTTGCAACTCACATACTGTGTATCAGTACCTATGTCAATCATCCAAGGCTAACACAGTGGAAACGTCATAATCAAGTAAACACATCAAAAGAGTGTGACTTAGGCTTGGGGGTCACCTCAACCAATCACATCTGGAGTCTTTGAGACTGGAGACAGCCAGCTGTGATATCACAACACTAGCATTTTCACCAACTGTGGTTGGAGAGTCAAGAGTGCGGTCGTCGTAAAAGGCTGTAGGAATCAAACAACATTGCTTCTATCAGGGATCCTTTTTTTTGCACTAAAGCTAACCGACAATGTAAGAAATACAACAAGACACGATCAGCTAAAGATCAGTAAGTAGGGTTTTCCTTGTGTGTATCTACGTTGTAACACTGTATCATCAGACAAATAAACAGAAATCAAGTCCCTGGACAAATGACCTCCACTGACTTCTCTATGCAGTAATTTCATCATAAAACACTATATCTACAATACTACATGACAGAAGACATCAGACAGCAAAGCTTTTTGAGCCTACCTTGGTATGAAGCTTTGAGAGTTGCTTCTCATCAAGGTAAGTCTGTGTGTAAACACGTCTTTTATAGCGGAACTGAAGAAAACAGAAGGAACAAATGTTAGGAACTTGATGTAAATACAATATCATACATAGAGTATATACACTATATATTTATATATGACTATATATGTATTTTTATATTTGTTCAATCACTCATTAAAAAAGTGTTTTTTCTATGGTCCTCGTAAATAGGTCTACTGTCGACCCCCCTACAAAACCCACTGGATTTTATTTCAAACACTGATTCCTACAAAATATTTTGATGGTAAAAAGGGGAAAATAAAAATAAATAAATAAATAAAAAATACTATATATATATATATAATAAAAGATGATACAGTGTAGTGTTACAGATCCAGACCTGTGTAGCTGGGTATCTGAAAAAGAGTCACCCATTTTTCTTTTGTTCCCCCATTTTTGGTCTCTAAATTTGTACATACACCTACACCTCCTCATACGTACCTCCAGATAAGGTACTGGAACAACGGTGGGGAAGGGGTATTCCCTCAGCTGTCTCTCCTCGTCCAGAAATTTGCCAGCCCTGCCATTGTAAGCTGGCTGGAACAAGCCATAGTTGAGTACATCCTTCAGGCTCTGGTTGAGACTACACAAGATCTGCTGTTTGGACAGCCATATAGGTGCATCCACGTTGAATTTTAAACATTTCTGCAGAGACAAGAGCAAACGATAGGAGAGGCTTAAACACGTGCATTATTTAACTTTTAACAACACTTGAAGGCAGGTTTGGGAGGCTTTTAGATTAAGTTCATTTTGACCAGAAACTCTTTTAGGCAAATACATCTTCAATGTAGTACAAGCCAAAACTCCTCAAAAGCATTCTACTAATACACACAGTACAGTGAAAACCTACTACTAAAATAATCTCATTCACAGTCAGCACATACACTTTTAGCTGGGTCCACTATGTCTCTTTTGCAAGACATTTCAACTAGGGATGTCCGATGTTAACTTTTTTTGCTGATATCAGATTTGCCATAATGTCCAAACACTTTGTCCAAACACATAAATTCATTGACTGCAGCTCTGTGCTGCATCACAATGACAGTATTTCACTTTCACTCTGAATATTATTTAAGGCCACGGCTGAATCCAGGCATTGTGTTATTGGGTTTTCATTATTGGAGGAAAATACGATAACAATTCTTACCAATATTACCTTATTTTCTGGACGATAAGTCACACTTTTTGTCATCCTTTGGCTGGGTGTGAGACTTATACATTAATATATATTATGACATGTTCGTTATTTTCACCTTGACAGCCACTAGAGGGCACTCTAGGATTGTGTACCAGTATCTGCTATTCCTGTAGCACTGAAAATGTTCATTCATTTCTAACTGGCCGGTGCGACCTATCCTCCGGAGCGACCTATTTCCACACCTTCCTGTGACCCAGCTTTGACACCACACATCACCTCTCTCTTCTATGTTCTCTCTATCTTCTTACTGTACTTTTCAACACACCTCTTGTTTGGATTAAGACAAAAACCTACACTCAGGTTCGTTCACTTCAGTTTCCATCCACCTGTCCACCGTCCAGCTGTCATCATTGATTGTCTACTCCTTACTAATGGACTCCAATTCCTGATTAATGTCCTCACTTGCAGCTATCTCCAGTCTTTTGTTTTCCTCATTCAATGGCTCCTCTCTTCTCTCCCACTACCCTCTTACATGCTCTGCACATTCATGAGTTCAATTTAACATCTATGTTTTTTCACACTGATCCGCTGCACCTTCTGTGCGGCTGAATGTCTTTGTTAAGATTGTCTGCACCAGTTGTTTTTTATTGCCCCTGTAACTCTTCTTTATTTGAACAGTTTCTTCCCTGTTTGCCACAGCAGTCTGATTTTTACTGGGAGAGTTGTGGTCAACAACACCACAGGCAGCCATTATTTTATGATTTGACCATTTCAGTTACACATTTTTGGAATCTTTATACCAGAGCACTGTGCGGCCTTCTAGTAATAGGATCAGGCTGGTCAAGGGAGGATTGCCAGTTCTAATTCTGGCCAAGGTAGGACTGTGGTGTGTGTGTGCGCTCAGAAGATAAGCAGAGCCAACTGTCCTGTGTGTCAGGTGTTAAACTAGGATGTTTCACAGATGACTTTTAAGCAAAATTGGAATGTTGGAAGAGGAAGTCAAAATCCTTTTGATTTGCTACTCATTACACAGTAACATAAATCACATAACTCAACATGGGACGATAACTTCACTTGAAAAAATATTTAAAGTCTGTAATTGTACTGCCTGTTCTACCACAAGGAA